CAGGCTGCTCTAAGGATCAGACGGGCTGATGGACGTGACTGGGCTGTGCTCAACTGACTGGGAGATCCGTGGTTGAGATGCGGTGGGGTCCCGTGCGCTGTGGCTTCAGAGGGCACACAAAAAGACCTCAGTGTGGATGAGAAAAGCAGGTTTCAATTCAAGGCAAGGGATAGTCTTTCCACAATGAGTGCTCCTGATTGAACTGGGTGAGGCAGGAAGCCCTCCCCACAAAAGAAACACCAGCTAAGAAAGCAGGGGTGTTCCTTCAACACCCAAGGTAGGTACTGGGAGCCCCCGGCACAGGGCTCCGCCCAGGCAAGTGCACCATTCAGGGGGCTTTCCCTCCCTTTCCTCTCTTCTTTTCATGTTAGATGCTCCCCAGCCACTGTTTCCCCTTCAGATTCTGTGAATTCTCCTGTTTCCGTGAGGTGGCCGGAGCCCGGCATGACCTGAACATCCTTTGCCAACTTCATCACAGCCTCTGGGGCAGGGGTGGATATGCGGGAAAACATTTTCCCTGAATTCTGGCTCAGATTCCTTCAACATCTGTGGAAAACAAGGGAGTTTACCACACAGCCCTCTCACAATCAAACACTCAATTAATACTTGGCTCCTCAGAGTGACCTTTCTCAAGAAAAATACCATTTAAAAATTTTCTCCACCTCTTTCCATCTTTCAGAGAGAGGAAGTGCTGAGGCCAACTATGGAGAAAGAGGCTTCGGTTCCCCCTGCAGACTGTAGTTCCAATACCCTGGGCCAAAGCATGCAGAAGGGACCTCTGCGCATACCCTGATGCGACCTTCACACTGCCTGGGTGGGGTCAGAGCGGGGACTGGGGTGAGGGCCTAAGGAGGGAGCGGTGGCTCCTTGACGGCTTTCTCTGTCACCCTGAGAGGATGGGAGAACCTTGTTTTCTCAGGAACACTGGGAGAGGATGATGATGATGGATGAGAGAGACAGAGAGACAAAGGAAGAAAGAGGGAGACAGAGAGCCACTATGATGCCATCAGGAATTCTCCATCCCTCTGCAATCTGGAGCCCTCTGATTCAAGGTGTGCTCCACAGACTAGCAGCAGCACCATCATGCATGAGCTAGAACCTGTCTGAAATGCAGAGTCCTGGGCCTCATTCCAGACTGACTGAATCAAAATCTGCATTTATCAACACCCTCAAGTGATTTGGAGCCACCTTAAAGTTGAAGAAGCACTGATCTACAGAAGATTGCATCCCAGTTCCTAGCTGTGTTCCCTGGAAGTCCAAATCCCTAGTGCTCATGCTATGGAAGTCCAACTCCCTCCCCAGATTGTCTGTGAATTCCCAGGGAGCTCACTCTCTCAGTCACCTCTGGTCACCTCTGGAAAAACTGTTCCCCCACATGGGACAGTTGATAGCTTGTTTCGCCCTCTCTTGCTCACGCTGTCTGTCTGTTCCATACCAAACCAGATGGGAAAATTAATGCCTTTGTCAGTTTCCACAAAAAAGCAACTCACACAGAGCATTTGTGTGTCCATGTAGGAGATTTTCCCAAAATGTGTTGAGTCGTGGAGCTTGGATACAACAACCAGTGTAACCATTTTCTACTGAACACTAGATGTCTCTGGTCTTTGACCATACAGCCATAGGAAGTCTTCACTGGCCCCTTACCCCAGGTGTTCCCTACTTTACCCCATCTCCCAGGAGCATCTCTTTCTATCTCTCCTCCCTGGCTTCTCTCTTCTCTTCTCCTTCCATCCCTCTCAGGGATGGAAACTCCTCTCATTTTCTCATATGGAGCAGTAATGACATCCCTTCTGTTGTCTTCACACTATGCTCTTAAGAGTCACCTTCTGTCCCACATGTCTCAAGAAGACAATTTCATGGCAGCACTATTCCCAATGCCACAAGATGGAAGTAACCCAAGTGGCCATCTACAGATGAGTGGATAAACAACCTTTGGTACATGCACACAATGGAATCTTATTCAACCTTAAAAGGGAAGGACATTCTGACACATGCTACATGAATGAACCTCGAGGACATTATGCTAATAAGCCAGTCACAAAAAGATAAATCCCGTACAATTCTACTTACATGAAATATCTAGACTAGTCAAATTCATAGAAAGTAGAATGGTGGAGAGAGGAGGAAAACGGGGAGGAGCTGATTAATGAGTACCAAGTTTCAGTTTTATAAGATGAAAAGTTCTGGAGATGGGTTGCACAACAGTTTCAATATACTTAACACTACTTAGAAATGGTTAAGATGGTAAATTTTATGTTTTTAACCACAATTAAGAATTATAATTGAAAAAAAAAACACCTCTGGGCAAGCATGTAGCCTTCTGAGTCTTAGTTTCCTCAGTGAATTGGGGGTAAATATACACGCTCTCCTCTAAAAACACCTCACAGGACTGTTCAGAAGCTCGTATATTTAATGATTTTGAAGGGAAAAGGGCATTTTTTCCCCAAGAGGACTTCTGGTGCCAGTAGTTTCGATGGTTCACTTTCTATTGTAGCCTATATATCTCCCATTTCCTTCACCTGTCCTTCCTAGGCTCCACCCTTCCCCTAGCCCTGCTCCTCTTCCTCCACCATTTCCTCCAATGTTGGTGCCTTAGTATTCATTTCCTCCCTTCTCTTACGGTTTTATTCTCTCTGGGATCTCACTGACTCTCAAGGCTTCAAGTAGCTCCATGGGCAGATGAACACCAATCTCTAACTCCTGTCCAGATCTCCTTCCTAATTCAAACTAGTTTATCATACTGTCTTCTGGACTTCTCCCCCATGCACCTCAGTTTGGCATGTTCAAAGCCAAATACATCACCATTCCCCATAAACCATCTTCTCCAAGGTTCTTACTCTCAGTGAAAGATCTAATAGCCATCTCTTAGGTTGCAGAAAATATTATATATATATATCTGGAAATCACCCAGTGACTGCTCCTCTCTCCTTCCCACCCTCACTCTTTAATGACCTACTTGAGACAGAGGGTTTCAGATGAGTCATTTCTCAAAGGTTCATTTCTCTCTTGGGTTACTGCAGGAAGCAACTGCAAGGTGGCTGTGCTCTGCTCTGCTTGTCTTCTTCATTTCAAGATCCAAGCTCAAGGGAAATGCCATTCTTATGGCAGAGGAGAAAAATGACACAGCTGAAATTTTCAATGGTTCTTAATATTTCTGCTTAGTCTTGGTCTAAATCACTCCCACTTAGGTTCCATCAGCTAAAGCAAGTCATATGCCCACATCTGATGTTAGTCATCTGGGGGAGTATACTCCTTCTCCAGAGTAATGCTGCAAATCACAGGGCAATGGCTGCGAATGTAGAATTCTCCTAACAGGAAGAGTGAAGAATTATTTCCAATAGTATAGCACATGTCACTGTTTGTTTATAAGGCTGGCTCTGTCTGAAGAAAGACTTCAATTAGAAAAGTGCCCAGATCAGACCCAGCCTGAATCCCAGGAGGTGCTGGGTTCCTGAAGCAAAGTAGCTGAAGCCTTATTAAAAAAAAAAAGTGATATTGGCCTCGTGATAAAGAGGATCTAGAGAGAATCCTGCCTCAGTCCATCCAATGTGTAAAATGGCAGGAAATTCATTTCATGTTTTAGGCTCCTTCCAGAGTGTTTTTCACTTACTTATGACCTTTCTAAAGTAATCTACAGGAGTGAGTGCCCACCAGCAGCGTTTGTGCACCGTGGTGCTACCCATGGGCCAAGTTTGATCAGACCAGAGGAAAGCCTCCGACCCAAACTTGTTCAACCAGGTCCCATTTGTGGTAACATGGAATCTAAACAAAGAGGGCCAGAAGGTCAATCTCTCCTACAGTTGGAGTGATAACTCGTGAATTTGGAGGCTATGGGAGGTTGGTCATTCCCCAACCATTCGTATAGAGCAGCTGAGAAAGCCAGTCTTCAGAGAAAATGACAGAGGCGGCCCATCGGTCAAACAGAGAAAAGGGGTGAGAAAGAGGAGCAGCATTCCCCAAGTTTCCTGTAGCTTTCTTCTCCCCAGGTGCTGTCAATCCTGGGACCTTTCCTTGTGGCTCACACATGAGACTGGGTTCCCTGAATCACCCCTACATCTTATAATGATCTTTAGTGTAAGATAGCTTCAGTTGGTTTCTGTTGCTTGCAACCTAAAATACTTCAAGCTATTCACATTCACCTTTCTGAGCCTTAGCTGTTTCAGCTGAAAATCAAGATGATGATGCTGAGTCACTGAATTGTTGAAAGAATCAAGTGGGTGCAAAAAATTCTATACAAGTAGGAAGGATTATTATTACAGGAGAGGAATGTCATGGATGGGGTAAAATGGCTTAGAAAGAAATCTTGCTCTGAATTTTTGAAATATTGTTTAAAAAATAAGAAAAATTAATAATAGAAGCTAATTAGGGGTGTATCATAATATATCGGACACTGTTCTAAGTGTTTCATATGCATTAGCTCATTTAATCTTCAGCTGAATATTATTTTTTATCGGTTCTGTCCTTATGCTCCATTTTGCAGATGAGGAAACTAAGAAATAAGAGAAGTTTAATAATTAGCCAAGGTCACATAACACTAGGTGGCAAGGTATTATTTTTGGCTTTATATCTGTTTCCCAATCCATAAAATGGTACGAATGATAGATATGCCAGGATTGTGTTTTGAGAATTAACTAAAAACATCCTCATAAAGTACATGATACATAGCAAGAACTGACCCAATAATTTCTTTCGTCTAAGAACACTCATCATGAATCTATTTCCTTATTGCCTTGCAAATGAAGAAAGTAAGACATGCAACTATGAAGAGATAAATTTCAAATAAATAAAAGGCAATTCTGTTACCACAGCAGGAGATGGACTCATTAAATTCATTAACCCAAGTGGGGTGGGAATAGGCTTGAAAAATCTGTGGTGTTTTAATGAAACCTGGCTCAACACAACCTCAGACAAACAATTCTCAGGCCTTCTCCAGGGGAATTATGATAACCCACACTCTGCAGTGCTAATTGACAATATAATCTTTTTTTAAATCTGCTCAGCTTTCAGAGTGGCATGTCTCAATTGGATATGAAATGGGAGAGGGCAAGGAAACTGAGAGTGACTCAATTGCACCATATCATGGGGGTTCTCCAGACATCATGTCATGTTACAGATAGAAAATGGGAGCTCCAAGAGGTAAGGGAACACACCTTCACTCCAACAACCAGGAAGTTGGACAGTTGGATTTCAAATACAAATCTCTCTGACCCTGAAGTCCCTGCTTTTGTCCCCATACCTTGAAATGCCTTATTGAATTAGATTGCTATTGCTGCTTAACAAATTACCCAGAGTCAATAATTTGAAACAAGATGCACTTATTATCTCACAGTTTCTGTGGGCCAAGAATTCAGAACTGACTTATCTAGGTGGCTCTGGCTCTGTCATGAGGTGATAGTCAAGATATCAGCTGGGGCTACAGTTAAACCTCAGGTTTCACTGGGGATCTGGAGGATCTGCTTCTAACTGCCATGGCTGGCAATTTGGTTGTAGGAACAAGGCCTCAGTTCCTCTCCATCTAGGTTTCTCCATAGGTTGCTTGAGTGCCCGTACAGCTTGGTTACTGACTTCCCCCAAAGCAAGCCATTTGGGAGAGCTTGCCCAGGGAAGCTAACCTAGTCTCTGAAGTCACTTAGAATCACTTCCGCCACATTTTATTAATTAGAATGAGACTGTCCTACATTCAAGGGAGGGACCTTAGGCTCTACCTTTGAAGAGAGGAGAATTATGGACGTATTTTAGACCACCACACTTAGCAAATGAGGAAGAATTTGCAGCACTGGTGTGAATTGCCCAGCCTTTGCTTAAAATGAATCAGAGGCTTCCAACCCATCAACATGACAGCCAGGCCATGCATGCCCTACACACTGTGTGCCCCTGGCCTCATACCAGGTCTTTCTCCTTTATGTCACACACCTGGGCTGCTTTCATTTCCTCCAAAATGCTGTACTCCCTCCTGCCTGAGAGCCTCTCTAAGATGTTCCCTGGGCCCTCTGTGCCCTCCAACCTCCTCTTGCCTTGCTAACGTTCACTCATCCTTCAGGCCCTGGTTCAAAGGTCACCTCTTCATCGACCTTTCCCTGATCTCTCAGATCATATCAGGTCTGATCAAAAGTTTTGATGAATCTTTGAATTTTTTTAATGATTCTTTTCACTTGAAATTATGTTTGGATGTGATTATTTGATCCACATCTGTCTTCCCCACTAATGTTTGGTCTGTATTGTATTGAAACTAATTTTTCATTGACTGGCATCCCTAGGACTCTGCACAGTGCCGAGAATGTAACATGAACTCAATCAGAGATGTGTCGAATAATGAGTGCCCAGACAATGATCTTCTCATTGCTGGAAGCGTGCAAGCAGAGTGGAACCACCTCTTTATAAGTGTGTTTCAGGCAGGTTCTAGCATCAGATCAGAGTTGACTGGATGACTTTTAAGGCTCTTGCCTTCAGGGGAGTCTTTGAGATTCTGGGAGTCTGTGAGTCTAGGGTCTCCACTCACTGGGAGAAAATTCTGCCTCCTTGGGCTCAGGCCTCAGGTCTTCTGGTTCCTAGGACACACTCTCTCAAGGGATGGCCGACTCCAGGCTCAGCGGGCAGCCTGATACTCACATCAAGCACAAGGAAAGGCTATGCTGGAAACCTTGGGAGCAGCTGCCTGGGGCTCTCTGGGGGCTCAAGTGATTGGCCCCTCTGAGGCTCCTTTTAGAAGTTTTACAAGGTTAAGGTTTGCTCTAAAAATAAGCCCACAAGGCTTTTTAAAAAAGCTTCTAAAACCATATGTCCACAATGGCCATTTTTTTGAAGGGCCAGTGAGCCTTTAAAAGCTTCAAAAGCCACTACTTGGCCTGCCTCCCACAGTGGAGAAAGTGCAATGTGCGGTATGTTGAAAAACAGACCTGCTTTTAAGTCTTCTAGAATCTGCACTTGAAACATTCTGCTCCTACCCAAGGGGTTCAAGATGGAGATCAGCATGTGTGAGGCTTGTACCCCTGAGGCCAGGTTCTTTCCACGGTTATCCAGTGCCCCAAACAACCTCAAAACTGCAATTAGTTGCCCTGTAAAGAGATTAGTTCAAGTTTTCCTTTCCTGTTCTCTCTCTCCTCCCATAGGTCCCTTCATATTATGGCATGTTGTGGACCATTCTGTTAAGCACACACACAGCCAGGAACCACGGTGTGACCCAGAAAATGTCCACCCAGATGGAGTGCCTATCAGATGATCCACAGCAGATGAGGAAGAGGAGGAAGAGCACTTATTTGTTAAATTGTTCTTAAATCCAGTATGTGGCACATATTAGGCAGTTACATATTTATGTATAGATACTGAATATCTCTACCTTGAGTGGGAAGGCAGGAATGAGTGGAGGCTAGTAGAAAGGATATCTCAATGACTTAGATGTGCTTTCTTCCCAAAGACATTTTACAATTTGCAGGGGGATTAGAGAAGAGCATGGGGTATGATGAGCCATATTTCAAACTCCTTGAATCCTTCAAGCCTCAGTAAGGAATCCCCTACTGACCCTTTTACATAATGAGGAAACTGAGACCCACAGAGGTTAAGATTATTGCTCATGATCCCACAGGTCTATCAGCCTCCATGTAGACACATCTTACTGCTTCAATAACAGAAGAAATACAGCCACCCACGAATAGCGATAGTGCAGTGGAACAGGGCTCAGCACGACAAGAGCAGTACCAAAATAACATGATAGGGGAGTTGGAGAAGAGAGGTCCTTTCCAGTCAGATCAGAGAAGGTCCTGAAATAACTCCTTGCAGCCGCAGTAAAGTGGATTCTCTCTTCCCCAAGCCAGGAGACTTATCTTAGTCTCCTTCCTGCATAAGTGGAATTATTTCCACTTCTTCACACACATCAAAGGATAAACCACCCAAGAGAGACGACTGTCTACTAACTTCCGCTCAGAATCAAATATCATGGGGAGGGAAGGAACCAATCCTTCTATGACACCTTGATGGGTGTTCACCCAGCTTGTGCTCATCACCCTCAGAGACAGGGAGCTCACTATCCCATAGACAGTTCAGACTTGTTGAAAGTGATTTTTTCTGTCAAGCCACAATCAGGCTCCCCATGGTTCCATTCTGAAGTTTGGAACAACATCAAACTGGTTGACTCCCATGACCATAATGGCCCTAGAGATGCATGAAGACACTTTTCACGTGCGCTCTGGAAGCTCCTCTTCACCAAACTAGACACCCCTGGTTCTTCATACTGGTATAAGAAGTAGTATGTTGAGTGAGGATGCATACTGGCTCTAGAAATAGATGACTGAGGTCTGAATCCTGACTTTACCACTCATTACCTGTACATCTTTGGGCAATTTACTTCACCTCACAAACCTTCAGTTCCCTTATCTGCAAAACAAAGATAATAATATCTACCACAGATGGTGATTAAAGAGATAAATTGCAATAATCCTGTGGATGCCTGGAATATAGTAAGCATGTAGAAAATGTTACCTAGTGTGAGGGGGCCCCTTTGAAATCCTGGGTAATAAAGTATTTCTTCCCTGTTTAGGGGCAGAAAGGAATGAGCAGAGAGTTCATTTTGAAGGATTATGGAGCTGAAGCTCTTAAGAGCCGGAGACAGCTGGGGAGCGGAAACATCTGAGGTACATTCTGAATTACCACATAAGCAGAGATTCTCAGACTTGAGTGAGCACCAGAATCTTCTGGAGGGCTTTGTAAAACATAGCATGCTGGACCCACCTCCAGAGTTTCTGATTTAGTGGGTCTGGGGTAGGGCCCGAGAATCTGCATTGCTAACAAGTCCCCCCAGTGAGGCTAATTTTGCTGGTCCAAGGACCACATTTTGAGAACTGTGGTCCCAGAGCTTAACCCGTGGTATCTAACAAGTTAACCATGACCTTCCTGAGTGCCGGACACAAGCATCTTACATCTTATCTCAAGCAGTCCTCCCAATAGCCCTCCAAGGTAACTACTTACTTTCTTGTTAGAAAGAAAGAAACCAACACAGGAGGTTAGGAAACTTGCTCTTATGACATAGTCAGTGGCACAGCTGGGATTGAAATCCAAGTCTTACGGCCCCAAAGTCTGTGCTTGTAATCCCTATTTAGCAAATGAGTAAACTGAGGCATAGAGCAGTTAAATCTTGCCTAGCTCACCCATGTAAAAGGTAGTGGAATTCATTTTCAAATCCAGAGCTGTCTGACCCCAAAGGCCAAGGCCTTAACTCAAGCTTTTGTGCGAAGCAGGGTATGTTCAAGGCTGTATCCGTTCCAGCACAGAGCCCAGGATCTCTTCCCTGGTGCATGATTTTCCTTTGTCCTTTCCTTTTAGCTTGACTTCTCTGGGTAATTGCCTCTTTTCTCTAGGCTCTTGATAGGGTAGACATGGTCTTCCTGGGGATCGAATGACCACAGAAGGAAAATAACTTAGAACAAGCAGTTCCTCATGCTTCCTCAGTCGGTGTTTTTCCTTTAGAGCCTGGAAAGAAATGTGGCCTCTGCACACTTTAAATTGGACCATCAATTATTTGTGTCCTCAATATGCAGAGCTCATTAAGGCGGTGTTGGCTACAGTAGAGCACCTGGGCTGAGAAAAGTAAACTTGCCTTGGCTATTTCAATCTGTGCCACCCCCTCAGAGTAGAGCCCAGCCTGGGATCGCCAGGTACTAATGTGACCAATTATTTCTGTCCTCAGTTACTAGGTCATAAATCCTGCCCTGGCACCAAGTCCCTGGTTTCTGGTGGAAGAAGGTTCGGTTTTAGGAATAACTCTACCTTCTGGCTAGGGAATGGTGTGATGTTGTGGTTAGGACTCTTGGGCTTGAAGCCAAAGTGTTGCTGCGACCTCATTATGGCCTGTCAATAACCAGCTGTGTGCGACTGTCACATTCCTGTCCTACCTCTCAGCTATAAGATGGGCCTGGTGCCTCCCCAGTTTGCTGCAGTGACACTGTGTTTAAGAAAAGAGGTCAAGCATCTATAAGAGGCCACTGGGAGTATCTAGTTTTATCTGAAGTCCCTGGTGTGGTTTCCTAAAAGGGAGACGGAGAGTCAATCCCAGGCTTCTTCCTGTCCAGAATGTTCTTCCTTCTGTCCTTTGCATACCTGGATTATTCTCATTCTTCAGTTATCTCCTTAAACATCCCCTCTTCAAAGAGGCTTTCCCCAGCTCCTATCTAAAGTTCCAGAGGCTGTGGAGAAAAGGGAACCCTCCTGCATTGCTAGTGGAGATGTGAATTTGTGAAGCCACTATGGAAAACTATGGAAATTCCTTAAAAAACTAAAAATAGTTACCATAGGATTCAGCAATCCCACTCCTGGGTATATATCCAGAGAAAACTCTAATTCAAAAAGATACATGCACCCCAATATTCACAGCAGCACTATTTACAATAGCCAAGACATGGAAACAACCTAAATGTCCAACAACAGATGATTGGATAAAGAAGATGTGGTATATATATGCAATGGAATATTACTCAGCCCTAAAAAGGAACGAAATAATACCATTTGCAGCAACATGGATGAACCTGGAGATTATCATGCTAAATGAGGTAAGTCAGACAGAGAAAGACAGATATCACATGATACTGCTTATATGTGGAATCTTAAAAAAATGATACAAATGAACTTATTTACAAAACAGAAACAGACTCACAGACATAGAAAACAAACTTATGGTTACCAGAGGGGAAAGGAGTGGGGAGGAAGTTTGGGATTAGCAGATACACACTACTATATACAAAACAGATAAATAACAAGGTCCTACTGTATAGCACAGGGAACTATATTTAATACCTTGTAATAACCTGTAATGTAAAAGAATATGAAAGTATATGTATATGTATTCATGACTGTACACCAGAAACTAACATAACACTGTAAATCAACTATACTTCAATAAAAAAAGTAAAAATAAACTCCCCTTTTCCTCTCTGTGCTCTAGTTACTCTCTGAAACATCATCATCTTTCCATTCTCTTCAGCATGAAACACAATCTACACTTACCTTGTTACTTTCTTCGAATGCATGGTGGTTATCCAGTGACTTCAGGTGATGCTAGGTTAAGTTGTCTTTGTGTGATGTTCTGAATGAGAACTTGCCCGTCCCCTCTGTTCACCTCACTCCCCCAAGATGGGAAAGCTCACTCTTTAAAAACTGTATCTTGCAACTGCTCACAGAGCAATTCAGGTTTTTTCAAACCGAACAACCAAAACAAAATGCCAAAGTAGATTGAGTGCCAAGGGTAACACCTGACTGAAAATGTTTGTGTTCATTAACCTAGTTTTACTGTTTTTATTGATGGTCATTAGATGTTATAATTTTGATCTATTTTTTAAAAGGCAGGGAAATCAAAGTGGAAAAAGACAATCACTGCTTTGAAGGAACTCAGTTACCGGGAGAGAAAAAGAGTAGCAAACAATTGCACTGTCATTTGCTAAGTTTGCGAATTGAGGTAATAAAACTACATGGAGGCTTGTGGGGTGAAGTAGGGCAGAAAAAAACCAGCATGAGTAAATTCAGGTTGGCATGTTTGGGGACATCAAAGTAGCTCCGTGTAGGATGAGCATGAGCAGAAGGGAGTAAGAGGATTCATAAACATCTCTAGTGCCTCTCCATCACTATCATGACTCTGGGTCATGGCTGTGATTATTTGTCTGTCTGTATGTCTGTCAGTCTACTTGTCTATTCTGAATCCTATATTCCAAATCCCCAGTACCAAGCCTGATGCCTTCCCAGAATAAACACTCACTTATTTTTTGAATAAGCTTTGAATAAATGGCCAGGTTCTCAGGGCAGTAGAGGAGGCAGATGGCAGAGATACCTGCAAAGTTGGAGACAGGGCAGACCAAACTGAGGAGAGATAAAGGGACCAGCACTTTGATTTGTAGTTATTTCATGAAGGCTTGGACCAGCAATTTGGCCAAAATAGCACTGAAATGTGGGAAGAATAACACTAGGTTTATAAGCCATAACAAAATGTCACTCAAATATGGTGATAATTAATACCCAATAAGGAAAATTAGAGTTATTATTTTATAATTTCTTCACAATCTTACTATATATAGTAGCACCTAGGTTTAGTTTTCTACTTCAACTTAATGGTTTTGCTAATAAATGACTAAAGCCAAAAAAAAAAAGATCCTTTCGTAATGAAGGTTAAAATGCAGGACTTAAAGTCAAGCAGATTTCATTTCTGAACAAAGCTTTGCCACATTCTATATGACCTTAGACAATTAACTCAATCTCTCTGAACTTTAGGTGTCCTTCCCATAGAATGGGGCTAAAATTATGCCTTATTGTGGCAGTTAAATAATGGGTGTTTTTTGTCTACTGCTGCCTATCAAACCACCCCCAAAATTTAGTAGCTTAAACCAACTTATGATGATCTCTCATAGGTTTCTGAGTTGGTTGGGGGTAGCCAGGCAGTTTTTGCTTAGAGCCTCTTATGAGTTGTAGTTAATGCTGACTGGGGCTAGAGTCATCTGAAAGTTCAACTGGACTGTATGTCCAAGATGGCACACTCTTATGGCTGGCAGTTGATATACCTGGGAGCTCAGCGAGGGCTATTGATTGAAACACCTAAATGTGGCCTTTCCATGCAGCATGGACTTCCCACAGCAACAGGGCTGGATTCCAAGAGGGAGCACAGCTAGAGTCAGGACTACCAAAGACCCAGGGCTAAGTTACAAAGCTTCTTATGACCTTATTCTGGCAGTTTCAGATCATCATTTCTGCCATTTTTCTGTTGGCCAAGTAAGTCACTGAAGCCAGCCCAGATTCAAGGGAAAGACTGCAGTGGACTTCATCTCTTGATGTGAGAAGTATGTGTGTGCAGAGAGGGAAGGAGCTGAGGACAACCACCTTTGGAGACTATCAAACACACAGAACATGGCATATCTCAGTCTGAATGAACATCCATTCTCTCCTTTCCATTTTCACTTTGACTCATTACTTTTTCAAAATTCTTTTAATACATAGTTTCAGAAAGTCAGAGCAAGGCAAAATGGTACTTCAAAGGTGATCTAAGAGATTCCTCTCTTATGCTACAGACAGGAAAACTGAGGCCCAAAGGAAGGAAATAATGAACCCATGGCTTTTATCCCTAGACTGCATCCCAGGGTCTCAACATAATAGATCTTTAGTAAGTGTTTCCTCATGAAGCAAATGGCTCTCCACATCACTTTACTGTTTTTAAAGTAGTTCCACGTATATACTGAAAGGCAAAGTGAGGCAGTGAAAAGTTACCAGATTTGGGAATAAATAGATCTGTGTTAGAATTCTAGCTCTTATACTCACTTTATGATTCTAGGCGGATTGCTGAACTTCTCAGAGCTTCTGATTCCCTTAACTCTAAAAATAGCCTAATGAAGCACAGGATTCCAAGCCATTGCAAGTGCTAAGGTCATTAATTCAAGTAGCTGATACAGACCAAGTGCTCAGCATTTGGCAGCCATCTTGTTTCATTCCTATTAAGTTTCACAAAAACCCTATGAGGTAAGTATCGTAGTCCCATTTTACAGATTGGGAAACTGGACCTCAAAAAAAGTAGGTGCTTTGCTTACTACATACAGCTAGCAAATGGTAGCTCTGAGACTTGAAAGTTGTCTTTGATTCAACAGCGGAAACACCCTCCTACCCATCACCTCTACCCTCATGGCCCACACGTCCATCCCCTGTAGTCTATTCTAAAAGGCAGAGAAGAGATTCTGAGTAGCAATAATTTGCTAAATTAATGACTACTTAGGATTTTTTTTCCATTAGTGGGAAGGAAATCTCTAGATCATAGTCTGCCCAATAATTTAGCACTTTTTCTAGCACTTTGAAGTGTTTGAAGTTTCCATGTTTCTTTTACCTTTAATAGCATATGAGGTAGGAAAGGCCACAATTAGGGTGCCTGTTAGATAGGTGATAAAATAAAGGCAAAATGCCTGTGGTTTTGCTTTCATACTCTGGAGAGATTATGCTGATCCCATTGTTTGCCAAAACGAGGCAGATAGAAAAAGAAAAATTAGAGAGATTCCAGGAGATTGTGAGTCTAGCTCTTTCATCTTCATTAAACTAGTGTTATATTGCCTTTTGAAAGGCCAACGACGAACATTGTCAAAAACTCTGCCATTCCTGGAAGGGTACCATAAAGAGAAAATAAGCAGAACAAGAGTAAGACACGAACCACGGGGGAAGGGAAGGGGAATCAGATGTCCAATGGATTGACTCTGTCTGGCCCCTAAAGAAACCTCCACTTCCCCAGCCACTAGACAGGGCTGGGTTATACTCCTGTCCCCCTACCCACTCACCCACCCACCCCTTGTGAATGTTGATTCCACTCTCCATGTAGATGTTGACATCTGTGACAGAAGTCACCATGGGGCCAGGCATTGGGAAGAAGGCCACACCCATCTGTGCGTGGCACACGTTTTAAAAAGGTTATTTGAAAATATGTGTTCTAGATCCCATGAGAGAGTGACTAGAGAGGAAAAGATTTTTTTTATTGTTTTTTGGGTTGCTTTCCTCCTCAACTATTACCCTCTCCCCTATTATGAAGAAAATTTACTTGAGAGTCTTCCCTTTCCCCTCTCCTTCCCTCTACAGAGCAAGATAAGAATTTTCAACATGTTCTCATTTCCAAGTGATTTAAAGAAAATGTGGCATGATGGCTGGGGAGAGAGCTGAGCTCTCTGGCCCAGGAGGAACCCCAGCTTCTGTACAGTATTTCTGTTTACTGTCAGCAGGCAAAGACCCAGGCTGGAGGACCAGCTCTATCCCTTTACCAGCCATTTGCTGGGGACAGTTGACATACTACCTCTGAACTTCACTTTACTCAATGGTAAAATGGGGATACTCCCCAGAAGAGTGGGAAGAGTCTGAGATAACTCCAGGAAACATGTTTCATAAAGTGCTCTCCACATAAAGCTGTTACAAGGAACTTGGTGAGTACATGCCCCTTCAACTCTGGAGCGCTCTCTCTCCTTTTCCTGCCAATTTCTCCCCAGATATGCCCATGAGAAAAAAAAAATGTCTTGGTCCCAAAGACAATAATATCTTTTAGTATCTTTCAAATGGGATTCAAAGGGATGAGGGGAGGGGAGAACAAGCCTTTCAAATTACAACAAGCGGGAAGTCTTGAACTGCTTTTTCTTCTTTTTAAAATTACAGTCAGCATTGGGGTAACCTGTTGAAAAGAACACTTCTGGAATCCTGGAAAACGAACTCTGCAGGAACTCACTGTGTGGCCTTGGACAAGTCACTCTGCTCTACAAACCTCACTCTACTAATGGAGAGTGTCTATAAAGAGGAGTGTTGCATAAGAGAACACACTCCAGACCCAGACACGCCTGCCCTCAAATCTCAGTTTCTGTGGCTTACCAGCCATTTGACCTTGACCTCTCAAAGTCTCAGTTTCCTCATCTACAAACCAAGGTTATTAAAAGTACCTATCTAATACGGTTATCCTGAGGATTAAACAAAATAAATCACATAAGAGATTTAATAGCTTGCTTGGTTGATAGTATTTAAGAAAATGAAGTTGTTACACTATTAGAACTATCATCATTATTATTATTGTTACTGTTACTCTAAAACCCTTTGGATTTCAAGAAAGTAAAGCTCTATTCCTGAGTTCTTTGTACTGTCTAAGCTGAGGTCAGTCTCAGCAGGGGGATATTTTGAATGGCCCATTCTCCTCAGGGCCTATAGCATTACCCCAAAGCAAGGGTGTCCATCCTGTCTGGAACAAAACTTGGGAAGGGAAATTAAGGCCTCCTGTGCCCTGTCTCTGGAGTCTCCTGTTTTCTTTCTGGCCCTGCCCTGCCTGGCCCAGGTCTGATAGCTGGAGCTGCTGTGCTCTGGGCTCACACTAGTCAAGCAGCCAGAAGGGAGAGGAAACCAGAATAAACATGTTTTGCAAGAGCAGAGCCAGTTTAAGTGAAAGCAATTCTAAATAAGGACAATACAGAGCCTTGGCCGCCTCTTGGCAGCCTCCTCCACAAAGGGGTTTGCCATGAAAAACCAAAGGTCAGACTGATAAGCTGTGGGTGCCTGCAACCAGGCTGGCAGGAAGCTCATGACAGGACCTCCTCACTCAGCATCCAAATCCATCATAGGCCAGGAGGTGTGAGTACAGGGGCAGAGAATCTGAAGACCCAACCAGGCTCCAATCTTACCTACTCTATTATGACTTAAAGCATGTCCGTTCACCTTGCTGAACCTCTGATTTCCTACCATCTACCTATCTATCTATCTATCTATCTAGTGAAAAAAAGGAATAAAATCTGCTCTGGGTTCCCATGGAAAATAAAAGTTTAAAAAGGTGGTTGTGAACTACAAAGTGATTTGCAAAACTCGGAAGTTAATCAGAACTAGGTTTTAATCTCAGCTCAACTGCTTATTAGTCATGTGACCCTGGGCAAGTTAATTTGTTTGAAACTCAGTTTTCTACTTCGTGTGTTTTATACTTGTCCTGGGTGCTAGTAATTCCAGGGGCCATGAAAGCAGCAAAGTATGCTAAGTTGTCATATTAGTTTTGTGTGGGTGCTGTAACAAAATAACACAAACTTGGTGGCTTAAAACAACAGAAATTTATTCTCTTGTAGTGCTGGAGGTCATAAGTCTGAAATTAGTTTCACTCATCCAAAATTAGGGGATCTCTCTAGAGGTTCTAGAGGAAGATCTATTCCTTGTCTCTTCCAGCCTCTGACAGCTGCCACAATTCCTTGCCTTGTGGCTGCATCAGCTCAGTCTCTACCACTTATAGTCACACTGCCCGCTCCTCTTCTGTGTGTAGTCAAATCCTCCTCTGCCTCTCTCTTATAAGAACACTTGTGATTGTATTTAGGGCCCACCTGGATAATCCAAAATGATCTCGTCATCTCATAGTCTTTGATTTAATCACATCTACAATGGTTTTGCTACATAAAGTGACATTTACAGGTGCCAGGTATTATTAGGATCTGACATCTCTGAGTTCCATTATTCAGCTACACTTAGGGGTTCTTAAATAGTAGTATTCCTACTATGTTTACTAACTTCTTCTTCATTATACACAGATAGAGAGTCTCAGAAGGATTTCACCATTCAAAAATATCTTGTGATTGAAGCAGAGGATTAGGGACTACTGAAGTATGCCAGAAATAGTCACGTTAAATTCTTCATATTTATGTGCTCTGCATAAAACCCCATCTTAGTTATCTCTTTATCCCAAGCAAGTGACTGAGCAGAGACACTCAGTACAAGCTTGATGCATGGAAGAATGGAGGCTTAGAAATACCTGTGTAAATTCGAACTGTATTTTGGATGTAGAAGAGGAGTTGTGTGTGTAGACTAAAATCAGATGACTTGAGTGATATCATGGCCTCCTCACTTATTGGCTGTGAGATTTTGGGCAAGTTACTTTAGCCTGTCTAAGAAGCTTCAGTGTTCTCACATAGAAAATTAACATAATTAAAGTATCTACCACATAGGGTTTTACAAGAAATAAATGACATTGTCCAAATAAAGGAATTTTCATCATGTCTATCATGTGATGAGCACTCGTATAATATGTTCAGTAGCTATTATTGACTTTCAAAATTACAAGTTTAATTCATTTAACATATCCTTGATATATGCCAAGAATGGACTCATTTGAGGTGAAGGGAGAGATGGTTAGTTTAGAGAGAAATAGGAAGCTAGAAATATATCTTCAAACTTACATTAAATAGTGTTTTCTTCTTCATCTCCAACCCAGATTCCCACGAGGACCAGAATTAGGCTTTGCCTCTAGGATTTATTCCTTGGCAAGAAAAAAAAAATGAAAAGCAAAAAAAGAAAACCCCCAAACAAACAAACAAAAACCTTTCATCACCATAGCTGTGGCTCAAATTATCAGATGGAATTGGGTAGGGACAAGATTGGCAATCGAAAGAATAATATCTTCATCAAGGAGAACTGGAGGAGATACTGAAACATAGATACCAAGGCCCAGGAGATCAGAAGTCCTTGGGAATGACAAGAAGCTGGGTGAGAAAAAACATCCAGAATGTATGTTGTTGCTATGTGTTGCTTTGTTTGGAAAAGCAGGCTGCATAAAGGACTTATTTTCAAAGACTGTGGGATTTACCAGGAAAACAGATATGTATACATCACACTTGAGATGAACTGTGAAAAGTGCAGCTTTAGAGGGGCTACAGGGCAGGGAGATGAAAGCAAAAAATGCAGCTCAAGAACAATGGAAGGGGATGAAATTGGGGAAGTGTTCCAAAGAAAGTGACATGACATTTCAATGGGTTTCATGCTGTTTCCTGTAACCCCTAGCTCTTTCAAAACAGACTTTGAAGAATCAAACACAAGCGACCAGGAGAGATTATCTGGTTTTGACCTCTGCTTTCAAGAGCCTGTTTATCCCCATTTTAGAGATAAAGTTGCTGAGGCCCAAAGAAACACAGGAAATGTTGGTGGAGAAAAATGATAACATAGATCTTTCTGTTTCTTAATATTCTCTACCTCCAGACAGGATAGATAAGGAAGAAATACAATTTTTTTCCATTGTAATTGCTAGAACCTTTGTATCAGCTAAAAGTATGATTAGTTGAGAATGAAAAAAATCCAAATAACATGGGTTAAGTAGACAGAAATGTATTCCTGTCTCAATTGAGTAAAAGGAATCTAGAGATACTTGTACACAAAGTTCATAGCAACACTATTCACAATAGTCAAAAAGTGGAAACAACCCAAATATCCATCAACAGATGAACAGATAAACAAAGTGTAGTACACAGATACAATGAACTACTATTCAGTCATTAAAAAGGAACAGAGTATGGATACATAATCTGATGTGAATGAACCTCAAAAACATTATGCTCAGTGAAAGAAATCAGACACAAAGGGTCACATATACCATGATTCCATGTACATGAAATGTTTATAATAGGCAAATCCATAGAGACAGAAAGCAGACTCCTAGTTTCCAGGGACTGAAGGAAAGGGGGCATGGAGAATGACTGCTTAATGGGTTTGGTGTTTCCTTTTGGGATGATTAATATATCTTGGAACTAGATCTAGATAAAGGTGATCATTTCATAACCCAGGAAACATACTAAATACCACTGAATTATACACTTTAAAACAGTCAATGACCAATTTAATGTTACATAAATTTACCTCAACTAAACCATAATAAATCCTGAGGTGAGACATTCAGAACTGGTAGGCAGCTTAATGACAACCTCTGGGATTCAGGCTCTTTCTATCTTGCAGTTCTTCCATCTACATCTGTAACTTCCACCTCATGGTCCAAAATGGCTGCTCAAACACCAATGATCACAACAGCATTTTAGCTATCAGGAAGGAGAAAAGACATAAGAAGTGGATGACAGAAGCTCCTGAAGAATGACATAGGCACTGAGATTTAAAAAATATACAGGAATTAGTCAAAGGAAGAGTGATGAAAGAGAGTTTTCTAGAAGAAGGACTCAGAGGACACGAGTCACAGGAAAGACTGGTGGGAGATGTCCAGCACAGCTGGCTCATGGGGTTTGGGGAGGAGAGTCCTGGAGAGGTGTGCCAGGACTGGATTACCTAGCCCACTGCAGACTCTGTCTGGCTCTGGAAATCTGTTATCTTTTCTCTCATCACCCTGGTTCTTGCTCATTTTCCCATCCCATACTCCTGAGCCTTAGGGAAATTGATTCCATAAAAATAAATAAGAGAAGAGTCTAGAGATGGCCTTTGGTACGCATAAAAGCACACATTTTATCTTCCAGTCAAGGACTTTTTGAAGTTATTTACTTCTCAAAGACAGCTGCCAAGGACCCCATGACTCAAGGGTCCTCTCCTTCCTCCTGATGGCATGTTTTACTGCTGCCCTTCTAGAGGTCTTCTCCATTGTCTCCCTCCTTGTATGACCTCATTTGCAGTGCCAGCAAGAGCCAAGGTAAATCGTGCAGACTTACAGCCAGGGCCAGCTGCTGAGATGTGAACTGCTTACTTGTCTCCCCAGGCCCCAGGGGAGTGGCTTTTGGTAGAATGCACAAGGAGGAGAAAGCTGTCGCCTTAGGTCACCCTGGTGCACAGCTCTCTGTTTTGGCTTTGACAGGAGGTAGGATTTTATGTGCCAGGGAGCGCAGCTGGGACCAACCTGCCCTGGCTGAAGCTCTCATGCCTAAAGAGAGAGAGCAGGAGACTGCTGTGCTCAGCTTGGGTTCCAGGACACTTTGGCCTGCCCTAAAGATGACACAGCTTGTTGTGATGACAAGAATGGCCTAGCTGGAGGACCTGAGTCCTGGATAGGTGAGAGGATGTTCCCAAGGGCAGATACTGAAGTTTGAGTTAACCTGGTCAGCTCAGAGGTTCCATGTTATCTCATTAAATGTCTCTGGCACCAACCCAAGAGAACTCTCTCCAAATTGTTAGATTTTGACCAGGAAAGCTGAGGACAGAGAGGAGACAAGAATGCAAAGATTAATAGGGAGGACTTTAATACTGCTGTGT